CTGCCAGCAACCCCAGCTGCCTCAGCTGCGGATACCCACCTTTGGCCTGGGGATCTTACTGGAGGCGATAGGTAACAGCACCCTTGTTAATTCAAAAGTGTCGCTATGGAGCAAAGGGTTGATTTCAAGAAAATAACAGTCCAAGCAAGATACCAAGTACCAACAACCGACATGGGCAAAGGGGCGGAGCTGCGGTGCAGACTGTAAGCCAGCCCAGTTAAATGCTTTCTCTTAGAAGAGTTGTCTGGGTCATGGTGTTTCTCCTCCATTCTGAATTCTAAGACAGGGAAAACTAAACTGGAATGTCTTATGTAGTATCTCTTCCGTCCATCAATGGCGGAGTGTTTTTTTCTCACCAGGTTAATTAGTAAACTGCTAGAAGAGCAAAGGCCTGGGTTCTAATCCTCACGGCCAGGAAGCCTTGGGCAAGTCACATCTCTATTTCAGTTTCTGGTTATGTCATTAAAATGGAAAATAAGCAAAGTGTGGTACTTCTGTAGCTTTGTGCCTTTCTTGGATCTCACTCTGTAGACCAGGCTGGCCTTGAACTCACAAAGATCTGCCTGCCTCTGCCTCCCAAGTGCTGGGATTAAAGGCGTGTGCCACCACTGCATGGCCCATGGGGCATTTTTACACCTGAGTCACTGCACAGCTTGTAGGAACCTGGGCAGGCAACCATGCAGCTCGGACTGACCCCTCCCCTCCATAACCACACACACAAGTTCCCTTCTCTCTTATGAAGCCCAGCCAGGGTCTGATCAAGGAACTTTTTTTTTTTTTTTCCCTGAAAGGGATTTTCTGTATAACAGTTCTGGCTGTCCTGGAACTCACTTTGTAGACCAGGCTGGCCTTGAACTCACAGAGATCCTCCCGAATGCTGGGATTAAAGGTGTGCACCACCACCACCTGGTGGAAGGTACTCTTATATGACTCCACATGTAGGGACTTCCTTAACAAATGCTCTCCTGTCAGGAACAGGACCACACATGACCTCCTCTCATCTTCTGGTTATGTTGGTGCTAGTGGGGAAACTGAGGGCTTTTCTCCTCCTGACCACTCACTCCACGCTCAGCCCCACGCCCAGCTCCCGCTTTAATAAAGATGCAGTTCCCATTTTACTGAAGCTTGGAGAGAACACAGCCCTTGAGGGGAGAAGCTTGCAACAAACCTAAGTATGTATAAAATCAGATCTCAGATCTAATCAAGGAGCCCTCCAGTGGCCCCTCTAGGAGGCAGGATGAGGAGGCTCTCCCAATATTGAACTATCTCTGTCTGTCTGCCATCCAAAGACCCTCAGGGTGTTCCAGCTCCAGTGTCCATTCCCAGTCATTTTTATTTCCAAGGATGGAGCACTCATCCACATGCTCTTTCTGGAGCTTAAAGCCATCGTGAAACTGGGTTTCCTCTCAGCTTGCTTTAAGTGTCCCTCAGCTGCTCTTCTCTCCTCCCTGAAGACTCTCAAGGCTGCAAGAATGGGCAGAGTGTGGGGCTGGAGAGATGGCTCAGCAGTGAAGAGCACTGGCTGCTCTTCCAGAGGACCCAGGTTCAATTCCCAGCACCCACGTGCAGCTCACAACTGTCTGCAACTCCAGTTTCAGGGGACCGGACACCTGCACACAGACATACATGCAGACAAAACACCAATGCACATTAAATAAATAAATCTAAAAAAAAAAAAAAAAAAAAAAAAAAAAAAAACAGGCAGGGTAGGATTTCACACACTGAAAAGGCCAGGGTAGCACCACCCTGAAGATACGTTTGATAACAGTCACTGCTTTGCCATGGTGGTACATGCTTGTAATCCCAGCCCTTGAGAGGCTGAAGCTGGAAGCTTCCAAATTTGAGGGCAGCCTTGGTTTAACCGAGTTCAAAGCTGGCTTGGGTCAGTATAGCAAGAAGCAAAAACCTAAACAAAACAAACAAAAAACCCCACTCCTCACTGAGAAAACGATGTCAAAACTGAATTAGCAGGTTCAAGGTCAGGCTAAAGGCTGTGTGTCATTCAGCCATAAAGCACACACTTGGCATGCTCAAGGTCCTGGGTTAGTCTCAGCATAGAGGGCAAAAAAGGGGGCTAGAAAAATGCAAAGTTATCATCTAGTAGACCAGAGGTTCCCTTAAGCATATCAGCAAGCTGTTGAGCCTGACATTCACAAGAGCTGTCAAGCCAGGCAGTAGTGGCGCACGCCTTTAATCCCAGTCCTCAGCGGGCAGAGGCAGGCAGATCTGAGTTCGAGGCCGGCATGGTCTACAGATCGAGTTCCAGCACAGCCAGGGCTATACAGAGAAACCTTTTCTCATAAAAAAACAAAACAATTCGGTCCCGGGGTTTCGGCACCAAAGGAAAAAAAAAGAAAAGAAAAGAAAAAGAAAAAACAAAGCAGTGTGCACTATTGGTACCATGTCCTAGTCTGGGCCTAGGAAGATGGTCAACAACTAACCACCTTCCTACATATAGCTCCCAGGCCATAGGAGAGGAAGGGACATGGAAAAGTGAATGACAGTAACAGTTATCATTTGAGACATGTCATTGTCACAGGAGCCCACGGAGCTAACTGCACAGGTGGGCTTCTTCAAGAAGAGGTGGGGCCCAGAGGACTTGTCTACTCACCTGTGCCAAGGATGGCATTTCCATGCCAAGAGTGCTCCTGGACACAGCTCAGAGCAGAGCAGGGTAGACAGGGTACGCTCCAGCCCCAACCACCCAGGACTCACAAGTCCTGAAGTCCCGGCACCTGGCAGCATCCTCAGGGATCCCAAATGTACCTGGTGACTAGGATATACCTTCATAGAGATTTTTATCTACGTAGCAGTATCTAAGGTTTATGTAATGTGCCTATAATCCCAGCATTAAAGATGCTAAGTAAAGATTGCTGTGAGTTCAAGACCAGCCTGGTCTATGGAAGAATACTGTGTCTCAAATCAAAAGCTGCCTCTGGGCAGGTCTTGCTCCTGCCCCAGTCCCACCCAGGTCCCCCTTCTACTGGTGTGTGTGTGTGTGTGTGTGTGTGTGTGTGTGTGTGTGTGTGTGTTTGTGTGTACCCTTCTTACTTCCTTTTATATCTCATTTCTGTATGGTGTGTATATGCGAGAGGAGGGAGATGTAGCCATGTGTCCCACAGCACACGTGGTATCCGTTCTCTCCTTCCGCCTTTATGTGGACGCCAGGGACCAAAACTCAAGACACCCAGCTCTTTGGTACCGCTGACTGAAGCAGGGCCTTATGCACACTAAACACACACCCTCCCACTCAGCCACATCCCTAGTCCCCACCACACCCACTGACGCTCCGTCTGCTTTTCCTAGTGAAGGCACAGCACACGGCAGGCTGTAAGGTCTTTACAGGCACACACAGAAGAGCCCTACATGCCGAGGCAAAGCCGGTCCAGCCAGGCCCTTGGGCACCAGGAACCCCCAGTGTCTCTGGAGTATTGCTTAGCAACAGTCATGTAGGCCTGCAGGGGATTCAAGAGTGTGTTTGTATTTCTGCACTCCGTAAAAATGAGCAGTGCAGTGGAAAAACCAAGCCTGCTAAATCTTTCTCTTTTCTTCCTCACTGCTGGGGATAAAGCCAGGGCTTCTGCATGCCGGCTAAGTGTTCTACCACTGGGCTTCACTTCCAGCCCCAAAGTGTTCAGTCTTTTTAACTTCCAAAATCAAGCCCGCTAACTGCAAGCAACCAAGCAGAATAAAGGCGGTGGGAAGGCAAGTCAACTTCAGCCCGCTGCCCCAGAGGATCCCCTGCTGGTGGCCAGGCAGAGCTGCTTGCCCATGTCAGAAAAGTAAAACAGCGGTGTAAATAGGGAAACATTTTTCTGAGGCCCTCAGAAGAGTTCACCATGTGAAGTTGGTGTCGAAGGCTACTTCAGGTCCTGTGAGGACAAGAGAGAGGAGCTGGAACAGGGTCACTCACAGTCTGTGTGGACAGATGGCCCTGGCATCCTATGAAGTGAGGAAAAAGACACATCCTTCCAACTTCAAAACCTGCCCCCACACTGACACTTCCACCAACCAAGGCCACACTCACTCCAGCAAAGGCAACCTCTTAATAGTGCCACTCCCTGTGAGATAATGGGGCCAATTACTTTTAAACTACTACATATCTGTTAAAATAGCAATAAACCAAAATGCTTGGCAATAAATGTTGGCAATGATATAGAGAAATTGGAACTTTCATGTACTGCTGGTGAGAAGGTAAAGTGGTCCTCTCTCTCTCTCTCAAATAAATAAATGTAAATAATAAAAGCTACAACATGACCTAGAAAAAAAAAGACACATCCTTCCACCTGACGAGAACCCCTGTGCCTGCCAACACTGGAGCTTCTCTGCCACCAGACTTTGGCTCATCCAAGGGCATGCCTAAGCCTGGGACAGGTTACTACTCACTTTGGCTCTCAGGGCCTGGCTCTTTACCCCTCATCCGTCCTTCAATCCTTGGACAATGCTGCCTTCCAGGGAGGCCCAGAACATGACAGGGGTGGTTTGAATGAGATTTCCCTGACAAGTCTTGGGAATTGAATACTGGGTCCCCAGCTGGTGATGGTGTGGGAAGTTGCTGGAGGAAGTCTGGCCATAGGGGTGGGTTCTGAGGCTTCGGTTAACCCTCTGCCTGCTGACTGTGGTTCAACACGTGAGCTCCCAGCTGTTTGTGCTGCCATCGTGGACTCTAGGCCCCTGGAACCACACGCACAAAATAAACTGTGTCTTCTCTGAGCTGCCTCGGGCATGGTGTCTTACCACAGCAATGAAACAGTGACTAAGACAATGACTTAGAAGTAAGAAAAAGCCCAAGGTGGTGGCGCACACCTTTAGTCTCAGCAATCGGGAGGCAAAGGCAGGCGGATCTCTCTGAGTTCGAGACCAGCCTGGTCTACAGAGCGAGTTCTAGGATAGCCAGGACTATACAGAGAAACTCTGTCTCAAGGGGGAAAAAAAGGCAGAGACAAGAGGATTACTACAAGTCAGGGCCAGCCTGGGCTACAGTGAGACTCTATCAAAAATAAATAAATAAAATCTTTATTAAAGCAGCTAGAACTAGCAATGACCATCACCTTGTATTGGGACACCTGTGAAACCAGAGTCAAGCAAAAGCCTCGTGGAATTCCCCACACTTCCAACGGCAACAGTAAGTCACTTGCTTCTACATGTTTTTAATTCAGAGGATGGGCCTTCCCTCTCTCCCCTCTCACCTCACCCTGAGGTCAAACTGAACCACTCCTGAGATCTAACTAAAGTTCACAGACATCTGCTGAGGGGGGTTGCTAACTCAGGGCCCCCCACCTCTCTCAGAGAGGCGTGCAGGACTGACTACCCGGCTTCGGGCGTCAGCTGCCTCTTCAGAGCACCTTCTGCCGGGGGCCAAGAGAAGGGAGGACTCGGTGCCACCAAGTAAACAGATCCAAGCAGCATCGTTCACCGGGGCCTACGCCTGCCCCTCCCGGCGCTGCTGGGGACAGGGACACCCCACGGAGTCCTCCTCAGTCCTTCTTGCTTCCCTGGGCGGGGCTTCTCGTGAGGAGCTTCCCTGGACTGGGCGGGGCCAGCGTGGACACTGTGGGTGATTCCAGCTTCACTCTGTCCAGGAGGGTCTTCTTGAGGGCAGCAGGGGAGACCTTTTCTTGGTCAGCCATGGACTGCAGCTCCCTGTAGACAGAGCCCCACAGAGAAGGTGGCAAACCTTGGAGCCAGAGCTTTGAGCCTTCCAGTCATACAGCCCCAGACCCTCAACCTGATCCCACCCCGACTCAGAATCCCAAACCAAAGAGGCTCCAGGCTTCTCAAGGGTCATCTCTAACTAAGCCGGGAGTGTCACAGTCGTTTCATGTGATCCAAGCTAGACAGCATCCAGTGACATCTGGGACCACACAGGAAAGGGATGTATGGGAAGTTACAGGGTCTGAGCTCAAAGTTATAGCCTGTTTGTCCTTAACTTCCCCATCTACAAATCAAAGCTAATCATAACTATCAGAACTGTGGCAAGAGCTGGGTGAAGCGAGGCTACCAAACCTTTACTCAAGGAAGCCAAGTGAGCTGTGGTCACCAACGAGCACAGACTCCGACATCACTCGTGAGACCCAAGAGAGGGGAACCAGCCCATCACAGGGCAGGCTGGGAATGAGAGAACTCAGGCCGGGGAGAGCAGGGCACACCCACCGTGTTCGGATACAGGAGGCCTCGACTGCATTGATGAGCAGAGAGCGGAAGCCCCCACTCTCCAGGAAGTGCAGGGCATGGATAGTGGCCCCCCCAGGCGAGCAGACGTTGTCCTTGAGCTGGCCTGGGTGGTCCTCTGAGTCCAGCAGCATTTTAGCTGCTCCCTGAGGCACAAGGGGGCATTAGAATCAAACTACGCCCAAAGCTCAGTAACACCCCCCCAAAACACAACCCTCGGGTCAAACATGCAAAGACACCGACCAACAATGCCTGAGCTCCTAGTCGGACCGCCAGGCGCCGTGGCACGCCCATCTTCACCCCACCGTCTGCCAGGGCATCCAGAGCCATAAATGCCTGTGGAGATAACTCTCTGAACCTGGGAAACAAGCACCAAGCACCCACTACCCCCAGGGGCTGCTTTCTCTGACAACCGGAACTAGTCCTCAGGGTCAGCTCCTTCCACCAGCCAGCCACGCCCAGGAGACGAGCGTAACTACTGCCCTCCCCTCCTCTGCCAGCCCCTCCCGTCGCCTAGAATCCACACAAGCCGGTGGGCAAGCGAGGGCCACTCACATAGGCAGGCCCGCTGCCGCTGAGTCCCGTGATGGCGTCGATGAGGTCCTCCTCCACCTCCGTGCAGAAGCCCACGCTGCTCATGAGCTGCTCCAGCAGCTTCCCGTCCTCCACCAGAGCGTGGGTGCCCGTGGCATACACTGTGGCCCCCTCTCGAACCACCACCGGGGTGTTGGTCATGCAGCGGATCACTTTTGGGGATGGCTGGAACGCCGTCAGCTTCTAGGGCAGGAGAGCAGGCCAACTGAGTGCCCAGGGCATCCAGCGCAGTCCCCCCGCCCCCCAGGTCCGGCCCATCAGCAGCCACGCACAGGCCGCCCCTCCTCTCCCACGAAGGGCACCGGGGCATCAGCACCTTCTCCACAGAACTGATGGTGACGCCAGCCGCACAGGAGACCACGATGTGCCTCTCCTGCACGTCGGCCCCAATCTCATCCAGGATGAAGGGGATGATGTGCGGCTTCACAGCCAGGAACAGAACGTCACTGTGCCGTACGGTGTCCTTATTGCTTCGGGTCAGATTCACGCCCATCCTCTGCAGGAGAAGAGGACCCAGTCAATAGTGCTAGGCAATGCCGATGAGCCCAGGCCTCCCACGGGACAGCCAACTCTCGGCCAGCTGCAGCCAAAACTCTTTATTCTGTCCCTTCAGGGCTCCATGATGACCCCCAAATGACAACTGTCCATTCCTGCCACTGGGCAACAAGGCACAGATGCTAGGCAGGACAAGCTTCTCCACAGTGGCCAGAAAAGAGGCTGTTTCCCTCGACCCCAGCAATCTTCTGACACCCCTCTGCCAGGGGAGAACCCCCATGGCGGGAAGAGCACATAGAGGGGTGAAATATCAGCACAAAGCCCACTCCCAGCCTAGTAGCCAGAGAACCTAGTTTACTAGAGTAGCAAGCCTCTACAACTCCCCGCCCCCAGGACTCCCAAGTGAGTGAGTATCAGGGCCCTACAGTGTTAGGGATGGAAGTCCACACTAGGCACAAACACTGCCTCTCCGGCTGTCCTGTGCCACACTGGCCAGATTTTATAAGACTTTAAGATCCTGAGCTTTATTGAAAGAAACCAACTCACCAGGTCCTTTCCCAACGCGGTCATTTACAACAGGAAAGGGTTACAGAGAATGAGAAAACAGCCTCGGAGTGGCTGACTACTTCAGAGTCACACCACCCATCAATGGAGAAAAATCACACTTCCGGCTCACTCGGTGACTCGGGCCTGTGATTCCCAACACTTGGAAAGCTGAAGTAGTAGAACTTTCCAGACTTATACGGACTAGGTAGTGAGCTCAAAGCAAAGTAGACTAGCCAACAAAAAGTCATTCCTATATACCTATACTTACACACACACACACACACACACACACACACACACACACACACACACACACCCCAGTGTCTGGATCTGACCCAAACTTTTCCTGGGGGCTCCCACCACACGAGAAGGTGGAGAGGGCTTGTCATGACAAGCAGCCAGACACAGGTCACTTCAGATCACGCTTTTCCTGGGGCCTCTACCTCCTTCCCGCTCCCCTCCATCCCTCCTACCCTGAGCGCAGACACCGTGGGCAGGTCCATTTCCGGGGAGCTGGCTATGATCTTGTGAGCCGACAGGACGCCTACAGAGAAACAAGGTTTTCCAACAGGGGATCGTGGCCCAGTCATGCCATCAACCCATCCAAGGAAGCCCACGGCAGCTCATGCACTGCCGGCCTCCGACGCTATGGCATCCAGGCAGATGGCTGCAAACCTCCCATTCGCTCACACATGCACGCACGCACGCACGCGCTCGCTCACTCACCACTCCTCACTCACTCGTTCCCTCGGGCGAGCCGGAGGGCTGACCACGCGTGGCTCACCTGCAGCCGTGAAGCCCCGAGCCAGCGCACAGGCCAGCTGGCCCGCGCCGATGAAACCCACACTCATGGCCGCAGGACCCCGGCAAAGCGCCGACCCGGAGACGCTGGGAATCCCCGGCGCAGGGTCCACGCGTGGAAAAAGCCGGACCCGAAGAGCTCGGTGCGGCTTCCAAGCCCGTCTGCACCGCTAGCAGGCCCTGGCAAGCCCAGAGCATCCACCGCCAGAGACGCCAGGCCTCAGGTAGGCCACGTGTCCCAGGCAACCAATCCGAGGCTGAGGGCTCGGGGCGGGCCAATCGGTGGCGTTGCCCGGTCGTGTGCCCGCCTCCTGCTGGCTCAGTGGGTGGAGCCTGTGGCTGTGCCGGAGCCCGCCAGACGTCCCCGCGAGTGGGCGTCCCCCGGGGCGCCGGGATTTCCTGGTTCGGGCGGCTGGTTTCTGACTCTGGTCCAGGAGTGGAATCTCCAAAGCGTCTGCTCGAGATGAACGCCACGTGGAGACCAGGAGATGCCAGGACAGCACCTGCAATTCCCGAGTGTCAGGGGAAGCCGGCTTCGGCGTGCTCCTTCGGAAGTAGAATTAGGTAGAAAAGACCAATTATTGGAGGACGGGTTGTTGGTTTATATAGTGGTTCACTTCAAGCACGGCTCGCTCTGCCTCGGTGCCAAGCATGATTCCACTTGCTACCTGGAACAGGATGACCTGGAGAAGTAGCTAACACAGTAGGTCCTTGTCCCTAACAACCTGCTGACTGCCACTTTGGCTTCTGTGAAACCTTACTCGCTTGCCCACACCACTTGTGGTTTTAGAGTATAAAATGAGAATACACACTGGACCCAGCACCGGAGCCTTTCAGGAGGCACTCTCTCTTCCACGCTCCTTAGTACCAGTACCGTAGTGCTTATTCCAGAAAGGTGCCCGTTACATGTCCAGACCCCCGGGAGGGCCCCCAAGCAGCCTCGGGTTGGGTTTGGTATTTGGAGAGTGTCTCCCTGTATAGCCCAGGCTGGCCTCAAGCTTGTGACCTCCCTGCCTTACCCTCTTGAGTGATGGGATTATGGGCGTGTAGAACACGAAATTCTCTCAACTATCTATCTATCTATCTATCTATCATCTATCTATCTATCTATTTATCTATCTATCTATCTATACATCTATCTATCTATATGTGTGTGTGTATATATATAACTTGTTTTCATGTTCCTTGGTGTCTTGCCTGCATATATGAGTGTCAGAAGCCCTGGAACTGGAGTTACAGACAGGTCTGAGCTGCCATGTGGGTGCTGGGGATTGAACCTGGCCCCTTTGGAGGAGCAGTCAGTGCTCCCAAATGCTGAGCCATCTCTCCAGCCCCCAAACATAAATTTCTATAGTATACAATTCATAAGCAGTTTCCAATGCCACCAAAAAGTTACCTTAGATAAGATTTTAACGTGTACTTATTCTACCCATGGATGTCCTCTACCATTGTAACCATTGTCCAAAAGCTAATATCCATTCATTCAATAGGTATCAATAGAGCCAGGTTCTGGGGACACAGTTGTAAACGAATATTAAGTGGAACAATTATTTTATTATTATTAAAGATTTATTTATCATGTATACAGTGTTCTTTTGACCTGAAGAGGGCACCAGATCTCATTACAAGATGGTTGTGAGCCACCAAGTGGTTTCTGGGAATTGAACTCAGGACCTCTGGAAGAGGAGTCAGTGCTCTTAACCACTGAGCCACCTCTCCAGCCCCAATTATTTTTTTTTTAAGTGTGTGCATGAGTAAAAGAGCGAGAGCCACGGTGCTCCTGTGGAGGTCAGAGGACAGCTTCCGGGAGGCCATTCCATCTTCTTGAACAGAGCCTCTAGTTTCTGCACTTGTGATGCCATGTAGTTCAGGCGCGTTTCCAGACGGTTCTCATGTCGACACCTCCGGCTTCCAGTGGGATTATAGATATCACTGCATCCAGGTTTCTACCTTGATTCTGAGGATCAAATTTCTGTTACCAGGCTTTGCTAGGACAAGTGCCTTTGGCTCCTAAGCCGTCTCCCCGGGCCGTATCACATTAATTTAGATTTAGGAAATCTTCTCCCCGCCCCCCCCAGTGCCATTTATTGAAGGAGAGAGGAGGTCTTAAATACAGGCTTACAGCACAATGGGAGAACCCTGGAGGGCAGAAGTTCGATACCCATGTTTTACAATCTTGCATCTAAGCTGTTAACGCCCATTATGCAGGATACATAGACAAGGAACTTTCCTTAAGCATTCAGGAGGGTGGAACCCGGCAGGGAATTAGCATTGGGAGGATATCAAGGTCAAGGTCAGCAAGCAAGGCAAGTTACCCAAAATGGGGGCCAGGGGCCTACAGGTCCCCCTTTTACTAGAAAATGACTTAGGTTGCGTGGGACGTCAGCAGGTCACCACCTTACCTAATTTAGGAAATCTTTGTGTTATTGTGATGAAATCCCAGTGTGGATCCCTAAAAGTGAGATTTCTAGGATTCCAGTTTGCGCCCCTCCCCCACCCCACCCCCACCCCCGAGTCTTGCTTTTTTGCCCAGGCTGGTCTTAAGCTCCCACACTCACTGGACCTTCCTGCCAGTTTTCTAAGAAGCAGAAACTACCTGCAGCCTGCTGAAGTGATGTAGACGAGGCGTCCCTATCGTCCCACCCAGCCACGTGGGACACACCCTCCAGGAGGGCCCCAGCCTGAGGGTGCTGTCCTGCCGTGGGATTACTTCCTCCCTGGCCTGTCTCAAGGGTGCAGCCCCTCCCCTCCCTGTCCTCCCAGCCAGTCGTCATTCAGCCTCCTCCCTCCCCTCCATCCTGTGCTCTCCCCTCCAGCAGTCGGAAGGTGGACGTTTCATTTTTATCAGGGCGTCAGGGCCTTCCTCCGGTCTTATCCTCCGGCAACAGGCCTGCCCCTTTCTGAGAACTGGGGTGATCCAGGCTGAGCTGCCCGCAGCCGGGTAGGTGGCAAGTCTCCAGCACCCAGCCCTCCCTCACCTTATTTTATTACATGGTTGTCCCTGTTGATAACACAAAAATTGGAAATTAGGTTCAGTAGAAAAGCTGTCCTTTTTTTCCCCATTTCAGTACAGGGGTTGGGGGGGTTGAGGGGGATGGACCTCGGGCCTTGCACAGAGCAGGCAGTGAGTGTCTCACCATTGACCTGCCCCCCAGCACATCTTCCATGTCACCGCCTAAGGAGAACCAATGTGACATTTTTGGAGAATAGCCCTATACTTCTTTTCCCTACAAAGTGAGGCACGTCTTGAAATAGATTTTTTTTCCTAATCTTGATGCTTTTATAAGAACAATTCAGTGAGAAGCCGGAACCGGTTGTGACCTTAACACTCGGGTGGGTGGCCAAAGCAGGAAGATGGAGAGTTCAGGCCGGTCTGGGATATATGATGAAAGAAATCCTGTCTCAAAAAAGGAGTTAAAATTCCAATTTACTGTTGGAGGGCTGGCGATATAGCTCAGTTGGTGGCGCACACAGGGCTGGGCTGTCTCCCTCACGCTGTGTAACCGGTGAGATAGTGCAGTCCCAGCGACTCCGGCACTTGGGAGGTGGGAGCAGGAAGATCAGAAGTTCAGGGTCATCCTCGGCTTACAAACAAACAAATGTATTAGACAACACATTTCATACAAAGAACAGACGAAACTAAACCATTTTAGAGGCAAAACTGATGGAACTCTTATCTCTGGATTTTGTTTGTTTGAGACAGGGTTTCTTTCTGTGGGGGGGGGGCCATCCCAGCCCCACTTTTTCACAGGGTATTCTTGAGCAGCAGCAGCAGGAAATATTAGATAGAAATACAGCTAGAGAGAGACAGACAGAAAACACAGGACAGCCTCGGGAGGGCCAGGATCCTAATCCACCGGCCCAGAACTTTATTCCGAAGGGCTTTTTATAACACTGCCAAGGGGAGGGGCAAAGGACCTCCCCCTTGCTAGTTACAGCCAAGTGCAGACCCTTCCAAACACCTGGAACTCAGGCCCAGGTCCAATCACCCTCTTTGTGCAGACCTGCTGGGTAAAGCCACTAGGAAACCTAACGGGCTCCAATATGCCTGTAGCCTTGGCTGTCCTGGAACCACCTATATGGACAAGAATAGTCTTGAATTCAGTATCCCCGGATTTTTTCACCATCTCACCCACTGTCTCAAACCCTGGGACAAATGACTGAGGTGCCTGTTTAACATAGCAAAGCAGATCTGGACACCAGGCTCTCCCTGCAGCCCTCAGTCCCTCCCTGTTACAGGGTGTGGCTGGCCTACCCCCTCACTCCCCCAACCCCCTATCCCACCCCACCCTCTCCCCAGAACTCTCCAGCCCGGGGACTGGCCTGCCCTTCTTTCTCCCAGAGGCCCTTCTCTATATAATTAGGTCATGCTGGTTACCAGCCTCTTCTTTTACCCTGTGCCCTCTTGACGGCTGCACCTGGTCCCCCTCCCCTCTCCCCTTCCTCTTTCCTCAGTGGCTCAGGATCCTGCCCACTCCAGACTCTCCCAGAAGTGCCTGCCTCTGGCTATACTTTCCCTTTTATCTACAATAAACTTTCTCCTCCACCATACCTAGGAGCAGTCCTGTCTTTCCCTTTTTTATTTCTTGTTTTCATTCACTATGTGCGGTATGGCTGAGTGTGTATATATTAAAAAATTACCAGAGTGAGCTGGGCGGTGGTGGCGCACACCTTTAGTCCCAGCACTTGGGAGGCAGAAGCAGGCGGATCTCTGAATTCAAGGCCAGCCTGCGCTACAGAGTGAGTTCCAGGACAGTCATGGCTACACAGAGAGAGAAACTCTGTCTCCAAAAACAAAACAAAACAAAAAGTAGACTGAACCTCTAACAATATGTTTAAAAAAATATAGCCGAGCAGTGGTGGCGCACGCCTTTAATCCCAGCACTCAGGAGGCAGAGGCAGGCGGATCTCTGTGAGTTCGAGGCCAGCCTGGGCTACCAAGTGAGTCCCAGGAAAGGTGCAAAGCTACACAGAGAAACCCTGTCTCGAAAAAACCAAAAAAAAAAAGAAAGAAAAAAAAATATAATGTGTTTCCCTGACAAGGAGACATGACCAAGGTTAGACCGCGCAGGGTGCAAGTGAGCAGTTCACACAGCTCCACTAACTCCGCTTCCCTCCTTCCTGTTCCCCACTCCTTTCTTCTAGAAGATTGTGTTTGTTATTTATGTGCATGAGAGCACTTGTGTGCGGAGGTCACATGACAGCTCCGAGCACTGATTCTCTCCTCCCACAACACGTTCCAGGGATCCAACTGGGGCCTCAGGCCTGATGGAAGCATCTTTACCCAGGGAACCATCCCGCTGGCTGGCTTGATTTATTTTTCTTTTCATCTCATTATTATACCACCATGCCCAGCTGTTAGTTTATTGTTTGTTTGCATTGTCTAGGAATGAAACCTGGGGCTTTGTGTATGCTGGACAAGTGATCTACCACTGAGCTACAATCCCTAGCTCTAGTTCATTTAATTCTTGCAAGTGAAAAAAAATATAGAATTATGTCCAATTTCCAGCTAAGTGTGATGCCCATGCACACTTGTAATCTCAACCTCCAAGAGGCTGAGGCAAAAGAAAAAAAGTCTGAGGCAGGAAGATCGAATGTTCAAGGTCAGCCTGGGCTATACAACATAGGACCCTGCCTCAAAAAAACTGTACAAACAAATACAAAATTGAAAAATAAAAGAGTCCCACTTCTGATGGGATTTGGCTTACAGCCTGTATTTGTTTTCTTCTCTCAAGAAACAGAGTTTTGTGATGTTCCCTGTCAAGATGTAAAAGAAATATCTGTTCATACCAAATAAGGAAATGCAGACAGACCAATGATTCTGACAAGCCCGGCTTCACCACAGAAAGGGTGAAGTCCTCAGGCCGCCAGCTCCCAAGACAAAAAGCAGAGTTCTTTTGGGAAACCGAGATCAGAGCGCCACCTAGTGTTAGAGCAGCGGAGATGACTGTAGACTCCAGCCACAAAGGCAGACCAGAACCAGATGGGAAAAGGAGATTTAATCTATACCCTGGCCTTGCTCTTACCAAGGATTCTGCTGTTCTCACCGTCCAACTGCGGGAAAAATGGTTTCATTATATAAATTGGCTTCATTAATGTGTAGGGGTAATTTGTATGCATGTATATCTCGCACCGCATGCGTGCCCAGTACCCACAGAGGCTGGAAGATGGTTCCGGGTCCTGTGAAAATGTAGTTACAGACAGTTGTGAGCTGCCATCTGGGTGTTGGGAATCGAACCTGGATCCTCTAGAAGATCCCCAAGGATAATTTTTTCCCCCTACAGTCTATCTTGTACATAAACAATAGTGTCTTAGTTACTCTAACCAGGACTCAAAGGACTAGTCTCTGTGCATTAGTTTCAAGGATTTTTTTTTATTTAATTTTTTTTTTTAGTTTTTTTGAGACAAAAGAGGAAGTTTATGTAATTGTTCAAAATAATATTTTTGGGCCGGGTGGTGGTGCCTCCCAGCACTCGAGAGGCAGAGCCAGGCAGATCTCTGTGAGTTCGAGGCCAGCCTGGTCTACAAAGCAAGTTCCAGGAAAGGTGAAAAGCTACACAGAGAAACCCTGTCTTGAAAAACCAAAAAAAAAAAATTCTTTTTTTGAGTGGGAGTTGTATGGGGAATTTAAACAGTACAGTCTTCAAACTTCCAAAACCGGGAGTTCAAAGAAATCATGTTGCTATCATCCTCCACCCTCTTCTAGTAAAGAACACTAAAAATGACACAGAGACACAGACTGGAACATCGCTTTAATTTTGTCTCTTCAGATAATCTATGTTCAACTGGTTTTTGCTAAATACAAAAAACAAAGCCTCATGTTAACACACACATTTTCTCATGGTAGTTCTGTGAGATAGGGGGAAATGCTACACACACCCAGGTCACGCTGACACTACATTAGCACACACTGCTAGGGGCTGTCTGTCCCCAGGGCAATGAAGCCTCGGAGCTGAAGCCCACCACCCGTGTGTAACTCATGGGCTTCTGCATCGCCTTGAGACCCTGCTGTGGTCAGCTCCAAAAGCTAAGCATTTGATTTCCTGACCAGTGTCCCAACCCATAGCTCTTCACCCCCCTCCTTAGTGATCTTAGGACAAACACTACAGTGTGGATGTTGCCGTTGTTTTGATTTTGCTGTTGTTGTTTTGATTTGTTTTGTTTTCAGGTTTTTTCGAGACAGGGTTTCTCTGTGTAGTCCTGGCTGTCTTGGAACTCGCTCTGTAGACCAGGCTGGCCTCGAACTCAGAGATCCGCCTTCCCCTGCTGGGATTAAAGGCGTGAGCGCCACCACCACCTGGCCACAGTGCCTTCATTTCAGCACTTGGAAGGCAGAGAGAGGTGTATTTTTGAGTCTGAGGCCGCCCTGGCTACATATCGAGACCCTGTCCCAAAAGAAATTTAAAAAAGTCTAGAGTGTGCTAGTGTTGAGGAGGCTCTCTTCCAGATGTTCTCCTGTCTAGGGCTCACTGGGATTTCTCTGTTTGCTTTGTTTTGTGGAATGAATTCAAATACCACCATGTGACAGAGTAAATGAGCCGATTCCCCTGTTCTCACCATAGGGTTTTGTTGCACAATTATCTGAGAATTGGCCCGAAAACAGATTCAGCTGGCAATGTCCACTGCTTAGCCATGTCGTCTACCAAGTGCACCAGGGTGTCCTGGTGGAGTGACATTATTATTTACTCACATAAGTGCTTAGACTGGGTGATGGACAAGGAAGCCAAGACATGGAGGACTGTAGGGCAAAGGTGAAAGGTGGATACTGAGTCAGGACAAGTCAACTTACTAAGTGTAAAACTGTGGGAACAAGGGGACTACAGATCTATCCCCCTGGGTATGAGCGCCCCATCGGAGGCACAGCTACACTTCTGTACCCTCATGTTGGGCAGGCTGACCACCTGAGGCCTGGTCCTGCCTCCCACCTTCATGCTGACAATCACTGGCAGGGAAGTCATCTCTGAGGCAATGCACTGCCGTGGCCCCAGAAATGGCCACTTGATGGTCAGGGACTCCGGTGGCTGCAGGCAGCTGCCCACACACTCATAGATCAGGAACCCTGGGGGTTCGAGGATCCAGTTCTCCGCCCACTTCATCCCCTGCAGGTCAAGGTACATCTCTTGGCGACAGCATCGGGTGCCTTTGGTCACTCGGGCCTCAGGGTTACAATTGCCTTGAGCTCTGTGGAGAGGAGAGATCAAAAGTCACCTGACGGACAGGGCCAAGGTCAGGAGCCTCTGAGAAGGAGACTTAACCATCCATGTCTTAAAGGCATTCAAAGAGAACTCCTGCGGTTAAAGAGTGAATAAACATGTCTAGAACATAAAGTCAGCTACTGCCTGCTAAGGGCTGCTCTGGGTATCAGCCCTGGCTGTCCCGGGACTCGCTCTGTGGACCAGTGGAAACGGGTTGTTACAATAACGTGTGTAATTCAGTATTTGACCAATACCATTTCTAAATGCACCCCTAGAAACTACTGTGGGTACGAATGGGTCGTCTCCTAGGGCAGCCTACACAGCGCACCCCTAAGCCGGCCCAAGAAACGGGGGAAGGATGACCCAGCCTTGCATCTCCGGCTATCTAAGCCCCAGCGCCTACCCATAGTCCTTGAGGTCCAGCGTGTGCAGCTCCAGCTGTGGCTCGCCCTGACCCTCGCTGCCCGGCGCCCCTTGCGCAGCAAACCGGACCAACTTGTGTGCGCTCCAGGTCCCCGGGCCCAGGTGCTCCCTCTGCACCGACACCTGCAGCAGCAGCGGCTGCCTCGGCCGGCTCAGCTGCTGCCAGAAGTTCACGGCCTCGGTCACGTCGAAGGCCTTCCAGCCGCTCTCGTAGACGGACACGAGCCTGAGACACAGCGGCGAGTCAGGAGGAGGAGTCTCCGGTCCCGTCCTGTCCCCATCATCCCGTCCTCTGCTGCTCCCCTCCCCCAGCAAGGCCGATCCGAGCTCCCCAATCCCTCCCCCCACCCCGCCCCCAGAGAGAGAGAGAGAGAGAGAGAGAGAGAGAGAGAGAGAGAGAGAGCTAGCTATAACCAACATACCTAGAGTCGATGAGGGCGGTGCGGTTGGAGCCGTCCTCGCGGAAGCGTAGCCACTCAATGGTGACCCGAGCCCGGGCACTGTGGGGGGACAGCCTCTTTTGCCTCCGGAGAGCAGTTCTGGGGACCGGTTCCTGGAACAGCCGCAGCACGGCCTGCACCAGCTCGCTATTGGGCGGCAGCCGCTGCTCCATGCCGAACACTAGCAAGTGTGTGGAGGTCTCGGACACCAGGAACCTGCCTGCCACCTCTGTGAACGTGGACAGAGTCAGTCGGGCCTCTATTGGCACCAGATAACCTCCAGAGCGGCAAGACCCAAGGCCAAGATTCCTTTCTAATCCACAGGAGAACTGGGAGCCGGAAGCCCATGAACACCGTGGAAAAAAGAGGTGCCTCTCCCTTTCTAGGGTTTGTAAATTTTGCGATGAGGCCCTGAATGTTGAAACAATCGGTAGGGTTGTGTCTTTTTTATTATCCACTTCCACCCCTGGTGGTGGCTTTGGAACCCTGTGCAAGGAAGGAGCTGGCTGGCGGGGTTCAAGGGCTCAGCAACGCAGGGTTCTTTGGGGAAGGTTGCGGAGAAGATGGGTGCGGAGTACAGAGTCAGGCTGCAGAGGCTGGAGACTGGAAATCCAAGGTCACTAGTGGAACTGTGCCTTTCTTAAGGGGCAGACTCTCTCGTGAGGATTTCTGCTCAATGGCACATCCATGAAAGAGGAACGGGAGCCTATGAACACCTTTTTTTTTTTTTTTTTTTTTTTTTTTTTTTTTTTTTTTTTTTTTTT